ACTATGGGTTAGTCAAGAGATGGAAGAAGTCTATATGTAATTACAGAGGTAGTGACATCTATTTAAAAAAAATCCCACTTACCATTGGTTCTTTATGGCTCTTACCATTGTCATTCCCTTCTTTTTATCGTTTTCATTTCCTCTTCTGCTGCCTACATCTTTAAGGTTAGGAAACTCAAATACCTACTTGAGGGAGAAACTTCCAGATTTTCCTCACAAACAGGAGCCAAGCTTCTCACGAGGAGGAGAGTTTAGCGTTCCTGTTTTAAGCTGTGTTAATTGATGGCTACAGCTGGCATAGTGTGAGATAGAAGACTACATACAGTCTGTTCCAGGCTCAAAAATATATATGGATAAACACAAATCCTCTCGAAGGTCCAAAACAGGGATGAAGGGGGAGACTATAGGAAGAGAGTGAATATTTAGGCTTTATTTTATACTAACCGCTTGTTTGTTTTTCGGCATCCATTTAAAATTTTTTTTTTTTGTTCTCAGAAGGGCCTGTTCAAGTGACTACACTAACAATGTCACACATAGCATATTGTGTGCAGTGTACTCTGTAGGTAGGTGTCAGAGCTCAGGTTTGTTTTTGCCCTTGTTCTTGAACAAAAGCTTCTTGTTTGCTAGCCTCCCAAATGTTCCTAGGTATTGTGTAGAAATACATTAATGTTTAAACAAAATAAATTATATGTCTTTTGAAAACAAAAAGAAAAGCCATACACATAAACACGCATATACACAATGAAATTGACATTACCCCGTTCCTTCCTCCATGTGCCTCAGAGTTCTAGCCAACACCTGTGGCCACACAAGGGGCAGACGTGGCAGCTGCAGAACCCAGATGTCAGACACTGAATTGTCTATCCCTGGTAGCAGTCCTCAGATGGAGCCTGTCTCCTTAGCTGACCTCTGAAATGGTCTATTGTCCGACAACTTTTCTGGCCTGGGTAGTAACTAACAAAGTCTGTTGGGGCTAGTTCAGAGTTAGCCAACTAATGGCTTGTTCTGGAGGCACTTATCTTTTGCTTTACCTTTCATTAAAAGTAAGGGTGAAAACTGGAACTGAGTCAACTCTTGACAAAGATCTATATTCAGATTTCTTCCAAGGACAAATTAAGATGCTTTTTGCTTTGACCAATTTTTTTGTTTCCCAGTTGAAACTGGATGAGATCAATTTTTCTATTTTAGCACCCAGTGAGTTTTCATTAATAAGAAGCAAAACTAAGAGGAAAATAATGCTTAATTTACCAAGCCTCTATAAATTGTAACTTTTGTCTCTTTTGGGTGTTCTCCATGTTTTTCAGCTTGTGTTTTCCTCTGCCTATAATAACCCACATATGTCCTTGAGATGAGTGAGGGATGATTCTAGATAAGGCAATATCCAGAATCAGGAACAGAATTGGAACATTCTTGGGCACCTATCCTCTCTGAAAGAAGACCGAATTTCCTTTTACTGCTTCTTAAAACTACTTCTTAAAAGTTGAAGATGAAATCCATGTTTCTTTAGAAAACTAAGGAGCCACACATTATTTTTACTATTATTAAAGAAAAATAACATTTATTTTTAAAGAGTTGTGGCATGAGATTTCTTGGTTTCTTAAGGAAAAAAAATGATTAGGGCATAATCTCATTTCTACATCACTTGCTGAAGTGTCATTACATTTAGTGTAAGATGCACCATCTTAGGAAAGAGATAGGTAAAAGGGCTCCATTTATGACATAACATTTGCAGCCCTTTAGAGAAGATCTACTATACAGTCATAAGTCAAGATACAATCTGAGAAATGAGTCATCGGCTGATTTTGTTGTTGTGTGAACATCATAGTGTACTGATAGAAACCTAGATGGTATAGCCTATTACACACCTAGGCTATATGATAAAAGCCTATTGCTCAGAGACTAGAAACCAGGATAGCATGTTCCTCTACTGAATACTAATGGCAAAGGTAACACAAGGGTAAACAGTTGTTTAGACATATCTAAACAAACAAAAGGTACAGAAAAAATACTAGGTGATAGGAATGTTTCAGCTCCATCATACTCTGAGTCCACCCTCATATATGCAGTCCATTATTGACTGAAATGTTGTTATGTAGCTTATGACTGTGCATATAGTTACAGACAAGTTGACAAGAAATATACCTGATATTTAAAGGAAGATGAATTCTGAGGAAACTACAAAATATAGCTAACATCAGATGGTACTCATGTGCCATGTAAAATGTTTCAAATTTCCTTTATTAACTTTTATAAAAATGTATGTATGTCTCTTGGTCATGACAAGACTTAGATTTGGAAAAAAAAGACATAATATGCATTAAGTTCATACTAATGCAGATAAGCAACTGATAAATAACTTGGGGAAACTAGAAAAATCTTCCATGCAGAATAATTCCAAGTACTTTATATGATACTCACCCCTCAAGGAGCTGGAGTTTATATTTCCTTATTCCTTGAGTATGGGCTGTGCTTTGTGATTTAATTCCGAAGAGTAGAGTATAAAAGGACTTGAGGACGGGAACAACTTCATGGTAATTGTGGGAAAACACTACCTCAGCCAAGTGGTCAAAGTTAACATCATCAGTAAGCCATCATGTTTATAGTATGCACTCTTGATATGGTGTGATCTCACCAAACTACACTTCACCTTTATGATATTCCTCCAAAACCTCACAATCCTAGTTTAAACATATGAAAATATCAGAAAAACTCAACCAGAGGGACAGTCTACTGAATACTTGACCAGTTTTCCTCAAAACTGTCAAGGTCATCAACAATAAGAGAAGCCTGAGAGAAAATGTTAAAACCAAGAGGAGCCTTAGGAGATAGGATGACTAAATGTAATGTGTTATACTGGATAGGATGCTAGGAGGGACAAAGGATATTGGGGGGGGGGGCACTATGAAATCTGAATAGAGAGTAGAGTTTGGCTGACAGTAGCATACAAATATTGGTTCCTTAGTTCTGTCAAAAAGAGGAGAAACACTATCTTTGTAATTTTTCTGTAAATCTGAAATTATTCTCAAATGTTTATTTAAAAATTTAGAGAGACGATTAATATTTTGCTATATTGATTGTAACAGAGCTCCTGTTAATCAATACATGTCTGTCTTTCTCTCACACACACACACACCTATCCACCAAACCATATGGCATTAAGATTCATTTTCCTGAAACATAAGAATATTTCATCTTTAAAGCCAATGTAGTGAGACCTATTTTTAAAGACTTAGATTTCCCAATAATTGGGTCATTCCTTCAGTAATATGCCACAAATGCTCAGAAGGTATATTCACAAACCTGTTATTTCTTGTTGGCTTTCAAAAATGTTACGTCTTTTATTCACCTATCGAATACACATAATTTTGTATAAGCAGTAATTAATGGCATCATTAATAAGGGAATGCATTAATCTCTGAAAGTAACATATTCTGTGCTAGATTTCTAAGGGCAGTATTCACTTACTGATCAATTGCTATCATGGGATATAAGGGGGTGAAATCTGATGTGCGACCATTTCAGACCCTAGATGGCATTTATTTACTGACTATTCCCCATCTATCCTTTAGAATGATAAGAAATGAAGATTCTGGGAAACACTGAAAAACACTCTTTTCATCCTATTTCCAATTTATCATTTTAATTGATGGAGGATAAAGTGTTGGTGTCAATGAATGTTTACTTTTAAAAACTTGTGGGTCTCTAGAATTATTCTTATGTTGACATTTTACTGATACAATTTTTAAAGTTGAGATAGTCAAAAATTAAGTAACCAAATAATAAACTAGCTAGACTAGCTTCTCTAATTCTATTTTTAGGACAGACAGCAAATGCCAATAAAGAAAGCAGGAAAAAAAATACTTGCAACTTCCTGAATACATATTAGGGTTAAAAATAAAACTCAGTAAAATCACTTACATATTTTATAACTATAGTAATTTACAATAGTCACTTATATTAAGGAAAAGGGCCAGGATCCTTGACAATAAGGGAAAAAAAAGTGTTCAATACAGAATTTGTAGCCAAGGCAAAGAGTCAACTAACATACTTTAAGACTATTTTTTCATAATAAAATACTGTGGTAGGAGAATCTACAATTCAGATAGGTAGTTACTTTTTTTATATGAGTCATTAAGCAGTTTAGTTACTATATATTTTGCATTGTATTGAACTACTGTGTGTGTGTGTGTGTTTAGAAATCAGAATTAAAAAGTCCCTTTCACAGAACATCAACAATGTGTCAGGTGTTTAGCTACCAGGCATTTGACATACACCATTTATTATCCAACACAACCCTGCAAGTCAGGGACAGGGCCTATTTACTGAGCAAGGGAACTGGGGACCCCAGAAATTAGGGCACAGGTTCAAAGCCTTCAGCTTGTGAATGAGGGAGTCATTACAAATGCTGGCTGCCTTGAATGCTTGAATGCTTTCCTATGTATCATACAGCTTGCTTAGAATTTAAACTATGATTAACACTATTCAAGTAAATATTTATTTTTCACTAACTATGTATTTTAAGTAATTTAACCTTTTCTAGGATTCAATTTTCTCTTGGGAAAAATGGAGTTGGTTGTTGATTTCTAATGCTTCTATTTTAAAATAGTAACAATGATTTATATACAGGAAAAATAATTTAAATGGCTATTTTCACATCACTTTTATTAAAATTAGGTCATTAACACTTATCCTTACTAAATTTTGTGATAGAGATCTATCTAGATATGTGCATGTCATTCCTTTCTAATCCCTTCAGTCCTATTAAGCCAAAACATTTGCTCTTACCATTTTCAATGTTATTCCTTGAAATTTATATATACGAAGAAATTGCATACTTTTCTCTGCACTACACAAGCTATATACTTAAGTCTTTACCTCCTACAGAGTCTGAAACTTGCACTCAGATATGAATAATGCAAAGAAAGCCATTTTTATGGATCTGAAAATAATCAAAATATTCATTTATTTTAATTCACATTTATTTAAATATAACAATTCCATAGACAAGTGAAAGTAATTAAAAGCATACATGGTAGACATAAATAAAGTGAAATGTATAATTATTTTAGACAAGAGTTAACACATATATTAGACTAATTGACTGCATGATTACATTTAGTTTTAAGAGTACATTAACATGGAGATTTAAAAAGGATATGCCTTTAAAAAAAGTGCTACAAAATGTTCACATTTATGTCAGTAATAAGTTATATCTCTTAGACTGATGTTTTATAAAGCTATGTAAATATCTAATTTAATCATTAACTTCACATGGTAACATTTGCAAATGAAGCACATTTTTGTTAATAGAAATGTTCTTTAAATAATATAGCATTTTATCAAGACCAGGCCACATTTATTAAACAAACATGCATAACACATTAAAATCTGAATAATTCATGTACCTTTAGTTTTGCTACAGCACTCCATCTTTGTGAAAAAATATATTTAATAGTTTGGCACAGAATTAATAAATCATATTGCTACTAATAAAAATAAATGTGACCTAAATTTTCCATGGCATAGAAGATTCACTATCAAATTAACCTCTTCCCTTTATGTTTTATCGACAAATGGCAGTTCTCTTCAGTTTTAGTTGGAATAAATGACAGATACCCAAGAACTGAAATTCATACCTAGGTGTAAGAACTGAGTTCAGTATTTATAATAGTAAAATATTTCCATCTGTATCATGGCCAACAAATTTCTAAATAAGCAAGTTATCAGCAATATTAAATACCATCATGAGATGTTCTTCAGGAGGCAGAGATGTTGAAAAGGAAATGTGGATCTCTTCATAGGGAACATATGTGTAAGAGAGCAAATTCCAACTGAGGCAGAAGCAGGAAAAGTTCTTTTGGCTGGATAGCACACATGGAAGAGCAGAAAAGGCTGAGAACAAAGAAATCATTCGGGGTAGAAAGGACTGTTGCAGGTCTAAGAAAGCTGAAGTGTACCACTCAAGGTAGAGCATTTTCTTGATTCAGCAAATGATCACTTTTACATTCCCACATCAGTTTGTCTAAACCAAGAATGAAGAAATTAACAACAAACTTTTTTCCCCTCCCAGAATTCATTCATAAACACTGTGGAAGAAGAAGCGAATAATATGAACTCAAGCTTCTTCTGAACCAAAGAGACTTCACACTCTCTCTTCAACTCAGACTACAGAGTTGTGGTAACCAAGAAAAATGCCCGAGTTCTTTTTCACAGTGTTGTATTTTGAAACGCCAACTGAAGCAATCTTTTATAAAATGGATAGCTTCAGTTTTGTATTTATGACATGGGGGAAGGTAAGTAGAACTGGAATTCAATTTTTATACAAATGTACATTATTCTAATATATAAAACAATGAACATGATGCTATTTTATTTGGTTTACGATCCTTGCTTTTCTGAAGGCCTTCAAAGAGTGCAACGGCAAAAAACATAAAATAGATTAAATATACAAAAAATTTTTAAAGCTGTTAAGATGTAAACGAAGATTACGAATCACATAGCACTGAATTTTCAAGAGTAAAATCATACCAAAATCGTGATAAGTTTTCGCTGACATCATACGAGAGTAAGTGGTCAGGAAGGTCGCTGATGGTGCCCTGCACTGCCAGCACATGTGGGGCCAAGGTGAAGGGTACGTCGCTCAGGAGCTCCGCCATTAGTGAGCTGCTCTCCAGAGTTTGGCCTGCCTTATTTTCCGTCTCAGGGCCTGCCACAGTCACACTGGATGAGTTTTCTTTGCCAGTCTAAAAATACATATATATTTAAAACATTTAGACCATATGAACTGTAAGGTTTAGTAATGGTAAATGTGGCATCAACACATCAAAATGATTGAGAAATGTGTAATATATAAATACTTCCAGATTTGAATGCAATTATTTACTTTACTTGAATCCAAGTCTGTGCTAGGTTTTAAAATGAATCTTAAACTCTACTCTTAGAATGACCATCTATAGTCCCTTAAATACTATCTGGCATTCTTGCTGTTTCCCTAACCCAGATAATGTCTACAAAATTCTTCTCTGCTTTCCCAACTCTTTCCCTGATGCTTTCAGGCTCTGCTGCATGCCCAGCTTCCCTGAAAATTCTTATAATACCAGAGTCCAAAGTAATCTTGCTCACTTCAGAATGCTTATGGGACAAACTGCTAACAATATTATTTGGTGTTTCCTAGAGGTATTCTTTAAAAAAGAAATACACACACACACACACACACACACACACACACACACATTTTTTCAGTTGTGGTGGACACAATACCTTTATTTTAATTTTTTTATGTGGTGCTGAGGATCGAACCCAGTGCCTCATGCATGTGGGTAAGTGCTCTACCACTGAGCCACAACCCCAGCCCTCCTAGAGTATTCTTGTTAACTATGGTTCCATATGCACAGAGCTTATCTCCAACTAGTCTCTACAGTTCTTGAGTGCGAGCAATCTAATTGGTATGTCTTATATTACCACCTTCCATACTTTACGGATTTATCCTAATATATTTTATTATATTAATATATATTAATTAATGTTAATTACCTTTAATGTGTGTCCTGAACATGGATTGTCTGATTTCCACTGGAATTAGCATGTTATGTTGCAATTGTCATCAAATAAGAATTGACACATCTCTTGCAAACACTTGTTTACTAAAAGACATGCACTAAGATGTTCACGGCAGCCCACATCACAAACCCCAAAACTGGAAACTACCTAAATATCCCTCAATAGCAGAACAGATAACAATAATTAAAGTCTATTTCCAGAAACTAAAATGAATGACCTGCCACTATAAGCAGCTGAAATCTAACTCAAACTAGCTCAGGCAAAAATAAAAATAAGGGGCTGTGGCTGTGGCTCAGTGGTAGCACACTTGCCTGGTATGTGTGAGGCACTGAGTTCGATTCTTAGCGCCACATATAAATAAATAAATTTAAAAAAATAAAGGTGTATCAACAATTTTAAAAAATAATAAAAAGACTCCCTCCCACTTCCACACCTTCATCTCACATAGAATGAATTTGTCTTTGCAGAGGCCTACAAAGCCTTCTGAATCTGGCCCCAGGTATTTCTCTGACCTTACTCCAACCAGCCTGCTCCTACCTCAGGTCCTTTACTTTCCATTCCCTCTGACCAGGTGGTTGTTCTCCCAGAAATACGGGATTCCTTCCCTTACCTCCTTCCAAGTTTTGTCCAGGATGCCACTTCTTCAGAGAGGCTTTTCCTGACCACAATATTTAACCCTGTAGGCTATTACTTCACCTTCTCAACTCTGTACTGTCTTTCCCTCCTGCTTTCTGCTTCCCCATATCCCTTCATACCTTGCTGTATACTACATAACTCATTCTGATTATTGTTTCTCAGAAGGAGTTTTTACCTCTCATGTTCATTGCTTTATCCCAAATACTTAGTGTCTAGGCCTTAATAAATATTTGTCCGGTGAATGAAAGCAGACAAAACTCTTGCCTTTATAGAGCTTATATTCTAATGGCTATAAATTCTGATAAATTCTTTAAGTCTAAAGGAGAACAATTTTCTGTAAGAGACATTTTTGTAAAACTTTTTACTGAAGTATAAAATACATATGGAAAAGGGCACATTATAAGAGCATAGCTTGCTAAATTTTCACAAACTGAACACACATGAGCAGCCAGCACTAAGATCAAGAAAAAACAAAGATGGTTCTTTTTCCATCACAGTCACCTCCCTGCCCTCTAGTCACCATCCTTACTTATAACAGCAAAGACTGGTTGACCTGTGTTTGAATTTTAAATAAATGTAATTGTACAGTACGAATTCTTTTGTTTTGGGTTGTTTTCAGTATTATATGTAAGAGATTCATCCATATTATTGCAAGTTGGATAAAAAAAAAAGTGAAGAACATATTGTTGCAGAGGACATATATTCTGACTGATATCTTAAAAGAATCACTCTGATTGTAGCATTGACAGTAGACAGTGGGGATGGGGTTGGGTAGCCAGTAAAGGAAGCTGAAAGATAGCTGAGAACAGAGATGACTGTGAGATTCAAGAAGGTTGTAATAGCAAAGGTGAGATGAAATGGTTGAATTGTGAATAGACTTTGAGAGTAAAACCAACAGTATTCGCAAGTGGAATGGATGGTGGGGCATAGAAACAAGAGTGCAGTCAAGCCGCGCCTCTTGGCACAGACCCATAATCCCAGTGACTCTGAAGCTGAGGCAGGAGGATTGCAAGTTTGAGGCCAACCTCAGCAACTTAGTGACGTTCTAAGCAACTTGGTGAGATCCTGTCTCAAAATTAAAAAAAATAAAATAAAATAAAAAAGGGATGGGAATGTGGCTCAATGGTTGAACACCCCTGGGTTCAATCCCTAGTACAAAAAAAAAAAAAAAAAAAAAAGTACGGGCAAGGATGAATCCAAAGTTCTTGGCCTAAGCCATGAGAGGGATGCAGTCACTATTTACAGGGATAAGAAAGAGTACCCAAGGAGCAGGCTCAGGCAGGAGACCTAGGTTCTATTCTGAAGGTCTGAGGTGCCTAACTGACATCAAATGGAGCTGTTGGTATGCAGAAGGATATGATTTGAATCTGGAGCTGGATGAGATCTGGAGATAAACATGAACACAGACAATTTTTCAAGGCATTGGAACGGTAAATGAGAAAAAATATATGGGTTGGTATTTAAAGGGGTGTGGTGGAAGCAAAAGATTTCTTTTTTTTTCTAAGTTGGGAGACATCATGACATCTTGTAAGCTAATGAGAAGAAGCTATTAAGAAAAATACATGAAGAATCTGTAGAGAAGGGTGGAGCTGGGGATGTAGTTCATTGATAGAGTGCTTGCCTACCTAGTATGTGTAAGTGCATGGGTTCAATACCCAGCAAAAAAAAAAAAAAAAAGAATAAACTTGTAGAGAAGGAACTGTTCTCTTCACAAAGCATCCCCAACACCTACAACAGGCCCCTCAAATATCTCAAATATCATTTAGTGAGTGACCTTAAATGAAACAAGTTATTCAACACATGCCTATTAAGAGTAGTCATCTTAAAATTTCACAAGAAAATAACACCAGTGTACTTTCTTAGGGCTACAACTAAAACAAATGTAAACATACCTATTATGACAAAGTTTATTATTAAAGATCCACGTACAGATCTGTCTCCTGAAACTAACTAGGACTTACAATGTTAAGCATCCTGGGGTCAGCCAAGAGCACAGGTATCAGTGAGGAGTGATGAGCATCCAGACTATTTAAAGGGCTTCACTATGTGGTTTGTATAGAAAAACTGAAAAGGAAGCAACATTGGGTATGCCAAAAATAACACAAGATTATGTATGCATCAGAGGTTTGGTTACTTGGGAGTAGCACAGCAAAATGGATTAAGAGCACAAATTCTAGAGCCCAACTGCTAAGGTACAAATCCCAGATCTCCTGTTTAGTGATAAACAAATTGCCTTAAGCTATTAACTTCTCTGTGTCTCAGTTTCTTTAGCTGTATTATAAGATCAGTAATAGTATGTATTTCACATGATTGTTCTGAGAATTAAATAAAGCAATGTTTTTAAGTAAGCAGAATAGTGCTTAGCAAGGGTAAAGAAAGTGAATTAATAAAAACTTTAGGAATGTCAGATCCCATTTGGCTTTAGACAAAGTCTAGAATCCATTTATCCCTTTAGTGTTTGACATTTACTGGTGGTTCAAGTAATTTTCCCTTTCCCCTACCGCATCCCCCAATTTTTTTACCTACTGTTGATCTCAAGAGCAAATCTTACATAGATCTATTAGTTTCATTCTGTCCTCAAATTTTCTTTCTCTCTCTCTTTTTGGGTTGTGTACACAATGTTATTCAATTTCATTAGCCAAATCACGTCCTGATCTCACCTTTACAACTAAGGAGAAGGTATGTTACCTGTGGCCCTGCTTTCTAAACATACAACTTCAAAGCCTAACTCTTCAGCAGCAATATTTATTCCTTTTGTCCATGCTTTTATCAATAATCTTTCCAAACCATTCTTATGGGTCAGAGCATTATTCCTTGAAGACAATCTATAGCAAACCAATCTAGTATAATAAAGGATTTGATACATGTGGCTGGTTTCTTGGTCAAGTTCTACTTATAAAACTACATCTGACCAGAAGGTGGATGCTTCACACATCAGAGCCTCGGCCCTCTATTCTGTAAAATGAGTAGTGAGGGACCAAAGGTGGTGATGGTGGTAGTGATAATGATGATGATGATTGCAATTATGATGAAGACGGCAACTAGCATATGTACTGAACACTTACTTTGTGCCAGGTTTTATCTTAGCTTTATAAATATATCCACTCACAGAAGTCTTCTAATAGCTCGGTGGTCTTCTAACAGTCTGTGGCATGTGCCTCATGTTTAAGACAAGAGGACACTGAGGAACAGAAAGGGTAAGTGGAAGTTGTCCCAGTTTATATATGTAGTTGGTAACGATACTGAGAATCAAATCCAAGTGATCCTTAATGGTCTATTAGCAAGAACCAGTACATTTCCAGGACATTGTGGGTAGACTGACCAAGTGAACAAAGTCTTGAAAATTCATGGGACAGTATTAGAAAATATGAAAAATACTATTGAAGCATATCCTGGCTTAATTTAGAAGGAAAAAAAAAAAGACTGCCTTTGGGAAGAAAAGTCTAATCAAATGTCTTACAGACAGACTGAAAAGGGATAGAAAAGCAACTGTAATTTAAGATAAGTTTATCCCTGAAAATGAATCTACCAGCAGTCTGGGTAGAGC